CAGACTTGGTCTCACCTACTTTGGTCATGTTGTTAGAAGGGACCATTTCCTGGAGAAGGATGTCATGTTTGGTAAGGTGGAGGGTCAGCTAAAAAGGGGAAGGCCCTCAAGGAGATGGACTGATATAGTGGCTGTGATGATGGGCTCAAGCTTGTCAACGATTGTGAGGCTGGCACAGGACCCGGGCAGTGTTACGTTCTATTGAACACAGGGTTGTTACAAGTTGAGACCGACTCAATGGCACCTAACAACAACAAACTTTGTAGGTCTTCACTCTGAGCTGCATATTCTTTCACCATCTGAAGGCAGCAGGCGCTCTCAATTGAAAACGCTGGCCAGTGATTTCTACCGTCTGGCAGAACACAGAGCCACTGCTTCTGGACAGAAGCCGTCACACTGAATCACTTCTCATCCTGACACAAGATGGTGAATAAAGGACACTGATGTCTCCTTTCTCATTTCCACATTCTTAGCAAAGGAGGGACAGAGAGAAACCACACTGTGCTCTATAAAAAACCATCCTGGGATTACCATGAAAGATACTAAAACTAATATCAAGGAGTGTTGGGGGAGGTTGAGGGAGGTATAGTGAGAGGACCCCAAATTACTAGGCATGGTATTCTCATTTCCATGGTGGTTCACCGTAGCTTGGAAATCAGTCATTCAAGAAATATATGCTGAGAAACAAGAGTCTAGCACTGGAGAAGGCCAAGAGATTCCCAATATGTTCTCAATGTTCAAGGTTCTCAATATGCCAGCAGTCTAACACCTTAAAGATCTCACTTCATCCCTACCACCATACATCATCCTATATCTCTATCTGACCCATGATTTTCAATCATGTTGAAGATGATGTAAAAATACAGGAGAAAGTGGAAATACATTTTCCTTCTCCACACTAAGAAAAAAACAAAAAGGAAAGAAAGAAAAAATTCTTATTATATGATGAAGAGCAATCCAGGTAAAAAGTACTTTCATAACACATGATGCAAAAACCATGGAACAAGGCCATGATAGAAAGAAAACTCCATACATCTGTCCTCAGAAATCTTCATGGTTGGTAATTTCAAAGTGTAAACTTTCGACCATCTTTATAAATAACAGCAAGAGATATGCAGATGTTTCAACATTTTTAAATAGAAAGATATATGAAGCAATCACAATACATTCAATTACAAAAAAAAAAAAAAAATCTCCTAAGTATAAGACAAAAAGAATTTCATATTCCACTACTCCTCTGACATAAATGCAAACTATTTAAATAATGCACTAGGCTACATGTAGCTCTATTTATCAATGAATTGAAAAGCATAAGGCAATTAGTAATCCCCTAACACCTCCCTGTGGCAATGTAGATCCTTCCAGCCAGTCTCATGTCTATTTAGTGAGAATTTAGTGGCTCACAGAGTTATTAAGTCTTGGGGTCCACCAAGAGTCACAGGTGGGATGACTCAGAGTTAAACATAGCCACATACTTAGACTTGCAGTTTCTTCACCTGCATTATGACCCTAACTTCTTTGATATGACAGGAAATTGCTAGTAAGACTGATATGCTGTAAAAGAACTGAGCTGACAAAAAACAGAAACAAAAACAAAAAAGAGGAAGGAGAAATGTTAAATAGGTACTGAACCTGGAAGCTAAGACTGCCTTCTGTTTTCAGAGTCAGTGCCCATTCAATGGTCACCTACCACACTTTGGAATTTGGAAAGATTTCCTGAAGACCTGAAAAACAGTAATTTCATGTTCTACTCCATGAACAGACTAATCCATTTGAGAATGTTGGCGAAAACTACATGCTTGGACTCAGGGCCAGATGAAGCATGCGAGGCACCTAAACACTGCTGATCTGTGGTGCCCCAGCCTCTGTTTACTCATCCCTCAGAATGAGAATGTGTGTTAGCTATCCACGGTGTAACCTCTTTTCAAATGTGATTATACCATTAGCAACTCAACGCAGAATGAGATGAAATGGATAACAAAATTGTTAGTATGTATTAGGTACTAAGATTTGTCCTGTATACACATATTTTCTACAAAAAGAATGTTCCACATATTCTACAACAAAGAAAATGAGTCACTGAACGTAGTTGTTTCACAATCAATGTAAAACTCTGTTGATCTCCCACAATGAAAAACTGACTTTCACCAATTTTGTTTCAAATGGCTCATACTTCAATTTTGATACTTGTTTCATAAAGGGAGCTCTGGTGGTGTAGTGCTTAAGGCATCTGACTGCTAACCAGAAGGCTGGTAGTTCAAACCCACCAGCTACTCCTTGGAGGGAAGGTTGGGCAACCTACTTCCATAGAGACACTGCCTCAGAAACCCAAGGAGGGGTTGTTATGAGTCGAACTGACTGGACGGCAGTGAGTTCATTTTTTTGTTTTGTTTAATTTTGTTTCATAGTAGATGTTTAATTATAAACAAATGAGTAACATCAGGCACTTTCTCCTGTGCAACAGACAATGAAAAGTGAAACTCACCTGATACATAAAACGTTTTGTGTTAGATAAATATTAACATTTCTATTACTTTTTGGACATTTGCTATGTTACTATTATTACTCATGCCAGTATTATATTAAATGTATGCTAGTGTGTATCTGTATATATACCAAACATATGTTAAAACAAGAGTTATAAATATTACTGTTGATAAGCTTAGGACATACTCCTGTGCATAAATGCTATGCAGGCACACCTCACTGTACTGTACTTTGCTTCACTGCACCTCGCAGATACCACACCGAGCAAGTCGATCAATGCCATTTTACCAACATGTTCTTGCTTTGTGCTTCTGTGTCACATTTTGATAGTTCTCACACTATTTCTAACTTTTTCATAATGCTACGGCACAATTAATATACTATACTGTAAAGATAACTTTTATATGCATTGGGAAATCAAAAGATTCATGTGACACACTTTGTTGCAATATTTGCTTTATTGTGGTGATCTAGAACCAAACCCAAAATATCTCCAACATATAACTGTACAATTAAAAAGTAACTTGGTTGAATTCATCACAAATTTCAACTTATTTGAGTTCCCTTGTTTTTGCACTTCTGGGACCAGAGTTCCCACTGGTTATATACCAACATATGCACAAAAGCATACTCTTGTGCTTGGATCATGGCAAAGAGCATTGTTGGCCCTCCTGGCTGGAGCTGCTTGGTCAGCAGACTTAGGTGAACAAAGGCAGTTCTATCAAAATGTTATCTATTAATATTATCTATCTTTGCCCAGTAATCACTCATGTTTGATCCAGGTGCATATTAGACTTGAAAGCCCACTCGCACCCCTTCTTTATTAGAAAGAACTAGTATACTCCCAAGAGACCCGCTGAGACAGGAGTTTTAATTACATGGGCGGGACCACAGGAGACAGATGTCAACAAGGTGTTGAAGGAGTAGTGACCTCACAGCTTAAACAACCCTGCATGTGATGCTCTGTGACCCTGCGTGAACTTTATTTCCACGGCACATTCTCACTCAGTGGAGCTGGGATCACTTTCACTTAGTGCCCTGCCACTTCCCTTCCACTGTGGTGCTCACTGTTCCTTGTGTCCTGCTTGCTTGGCTTCTATAGGTCTTTGCTTTGCACTGTTGGTGCCATTGTTTT